CCTGAAACATCAGCTTTCCTGCTCCTCTGATGCTGCTTGGCCTGCTGTGTTCATTCAGCTCTACACCTTGTTATCTTACATCCATTGACTCCATCTACAATACTCACTGCCTTGAGAAGGCTGCCAACATCATCAAAGATCCCTCCCACCCTGTTTATAATCTTTTCCAACCTCTTCCATCACACAGAAGATACAAAAGCTTAAACAGATGGACCAACAGATTCAAGAACAGTTTCTTCCCGTTGTTATTAGACTTCTGAATGACCCTCTCAAATTTCAAATTTAATGTTAATCTCGCTCTTGGTGCACTTTCTCTGCAGCCGTAACGTTGTATTCCTCGCTCTGTTCTATTACCCTAATGCACTTTGTACGGTATGATCTGCCTGTACGGCACACAAAACAAAACTTTTCACTGTATCTAGGAACACGTGACAATAATAAATAATCCAATCAAAACATGGAGTCTAATGAGACCATGAATCCATTGTTGATTGTCAGAAAAACCCATCTGGTTCACTAATGTCCTTTAGGGAAGGAAACTGCCATCCTTACCCGGTCTGGGCCTACATGTGACTCCAGAGTCACAGCAATGTGGTTGACTCTTAATTGCCCTCTGGGCAATTAGGGATGGGCAATAAAAGCTGACCTAGCCAGAGACACCCTCATCCCGTGACTGAATAAACAAAAACAAACCTTTGCCATTACAAACAGGAATGAGAGACTGATGATTGTGGAAAACACCATCACAACCAGACAAAATCACCACCAAGTGATTCAGCAAATTACTTGTCTTTACAGTGAGTCATAGACTCATTTGTTATTGTAAATAGTTGAATTATCTTTTAGAAAGGAGAGGGGGATTCTTTTATGTGTAGCCGGTCTTTAACAGAGCTCACAGTGTGATATACAACGGTTTGACCCTACCTGACAGGGTTGTTCGCGCAAGAAATCAGTAGGTTTGTTTGCTTCAAACTTCATCATAGAATCCCTGCAGCAAGCCATTCAGCCCATCAAGTCCACACCAATCCTCTGAAGAGCATCCAACCCAGGCCCTATACCTGTAACCCTGCAATTCCCATGGCTAATCCACCCAGCCTGTACGCTATGGGCAATTTAGCACAGCCAATCCAGATAGAATCATACAGTGCAGAAACAGACCCTTTGATCCAACTCATCCATGCTGGCCAAATATCCTAAATTAATCTAGGCTCATATTCCCTCTAAACCCTTCCTATTCATATATACCCATCCAGGGGACCCACACAGAGAATATGCAAACCCCTCCTACAGATAGTCGCCCAAGGGTGGAATCGAACCTGTATCCCTGGTGCTGTGAGGCAGCAGTGCTAACCACTGAGCCACTAAATTTATAACTTACTTGACTGTTTCTGCAAAGTCAACCCATCCCCCGCGAGAGACTACCCATACCAACATAATCAGGAATGTGATTGCAAGGAGACCAGGGGGTGGCAGAAGTTATACTATAACTCATAGTGGAGGAGAAGGGACCTGGAGGGGCGGAGTGGCCTCTTTCGTCTCCCTGGAGTCGAGTTGGGGGCTAATTTCTGCCTCATTGCCTCCTTGCATCTGGTTCGTAAGCACATTAAAATAAATTCCACCCATCTCCTCCCAGTCTCAGGGAATTGTAAATGCAGACCTTTTGCAAAGTGTCATTGAAATATGATCTCTTGCGGCCTCCGTACAGAAGCCTTGTGTGTGTTACAACTTTATATTTCGCATTTTCTCTCTGTAATCCGAACCAGCCCTAGACGTTTCCCGGAAGAATTCAGAGAGAGAGACAGCCGCCAAAAACACACACACACACACACAAGGGGCGGGGGGAAATACACCACCGACTGGAGCCAGAGAGAGGAAGCAGGACAGGGGTCTGAGGCGAGAGAGAAGAATAAACTCCCCCCACCCCCTTCTCAAATGTTTGCTCGTTTGCAAAAGTGTGTGTCAAAGATCTCAAAGGGGATTCCCAGTGGCTGGCGAGGTGACAACTGGTCATCTCTCTCTCCCCGCAAGTTTTATTTTTGTGCGTTTTTGTTTTGGTGGGGTGAGACTTCTTTGGGTTCCTCCTCCTTTCAAAACTAACCCCCCCCCCCCAACCTACCTCGAGTTGGAAGCGAATGAAACCGAAATACCGAGCTCGCAGCGTTGTATCTGAAACCGACGAGATCAGCCGCGGCGGTGTCTCAGAACCGACAAGACCATTTTTTATTTGCGGTTCTGCGTCTGAAACCGACACCGGCGACGCGATCTGACCGTAGGAACTGGGCAAAGCCGCACCTAAAGTCGACAGGAGACGCTTGCAACATTGTTTCGGAAATCGACAGGGAGGAAAGCGTGCAACATTGTATCTGAAATGGACACTGGAAAGTTGCAACATTGTATCTGAAGTGGACAGTGGAAAGTTGCAACATTGTATCTGAAATGGACACTGGAAAGTTGCAACATTGTATCTGAAATGGACAAGTGACAACGGCAACACTGTATCTTCAGCAGGAATCTGCAACGCTTGAAATCGAGAGGATACCACCCCTCCCCACCCCCAGCCACTACCACGGTGAAACTCAGCAGAAATCCCCTAACCTTGGAGGTTGAAATTGACAAGGAATCCTCCCACGCCTCGCCGAACCTCCCTCCCTATCTCCCTC